GCAGCAGCTTTTAAGTAAGAGCTGGTATTTGGGAAGATTTCCTTGGAAGGCGTGTGTCAGGGAATCCAGAATATCCAGCAAAATCCAGGAATAATATGGGTGTCATCAATGATGTCATTCTGTGGCACCTGTGTGGTTTAGTTTGTGGGTGTGCTGTCAAGAGGAGCCCTCTTCACCCTGCCAGGCTGCTCTGGGCTTTGTGGCTGTGCTGGGCATTTGCACCTGCCCCTTGCAGTGCATTTATTCCCTGTGACTTTGCCCATGGTTCTCCAGGGACCTTGTCCCTGCAGACAAGGATGGGACTGGTTTTCAATTCTGTTAAGCACTGCCAAGAGCAGGTCAGACAAGAAGATAATGAGGAGAGGTTAGCATTAATTTTATGGGGTAAAATCAGAAATTAGTGACCTCTGTGTTACCTACAGAGAAGAACATCTAACTGGGGATTATGAGAGAGACATGGCTGGTGTTAACCTCCACCTTTCACCTAGGGGATTTACTATGTCTCCTACAGCATCATCCCAGACAATCCCAGAATGGACAGGTTGTGAAAATGGTCAGTGAATTGGACTGCTAGATTTATATCCTATATAACATTCTGGGCAAGATCCCAAGTCCAGGTGAAGTCAAGTCTCAAGGGACGCAGGTAAAGAGTTGTATCCATCGAGTCAACACTGTTCAACATTCCCAACATTTAGGTGGGTTGGTGTGGGCACTTCTGGGCTACCCAGCAGGAGAGCTCCATGGACTTCTTGAAACAAAACCATGGACATTGTGAAACAAAACCAGTACAAGGCTTCCAAGATAATATAAGGGCTCTTTCACAGAGGATTGAGATACCTGGGACTCCCTGGAGACAAGGATGGACTGGGGAGTGTCATCAGTGTGTGCAAATCCCTGATGGCAGGGAATGAATTTGAGGGAGCCCGGCTGTTCTCAGCAGTGCACACGTGCAGGACAAGAGGACAAGGAGAAAAAACAGATTGAATTTCCTGGGCAAAGAAAGAAGTTTTCATTGTGAAGGTAGTTGCGGTGGAGTCTCCTTCCTTGGCAATCCAAACCTGAACTGTGGATGGTTCTGGAAATGCTGGTCTTGCTTGAGCAGGAGGCTTCCCCAGGGTTCCTGCCCAAAGCGATGATTTTTTTCTGTTTGTTTTGAGTGTTTGAAAGTCCAACTGGGAAGAGAATTTATCAAGAATGTTCTGGCATGCAGCGTCTTTGCCAGAGCCATGCACAGGAGAGCATGAATGTGTCGAAGCCTTTGGTGTTATCAAGTGATGGGCTTGACTCATGTTCTGGAAATTTATCCCCCTTCTCTCTTACATCCTTTGCCAGTCATGGGAGGTACAAGTGGTGACATCTTTGCTAAGAAAGATGTTCTGCCCCTTCTCCATCTCCCCCAATGGCCTTTTCACTCTTGGCACAGTGCTGGGTAAGGAGGTGAGACAACTGAGATTCAAAAACAAAAGGAGGCATCTCAGGTTTTGATGCAACAGAACTTTATTCAGGCAATGAAAATGAAGAGAAAAGAGAAAGAAATTGAAGAGAGCACGTAGGGCAAACACCAGCCAAACACCTG